TTATATTCATGTTGACGCAGTCCACGAGTATTCCTCCCTCGTTTCGGGTGAAAACGTGCTGAGCTTTCAAGGATGTAACCCAGCTCTGATGATGTCCATCATATGATGGACGAAAGCTCAGCACGTTTTCACCGGAAACGAGGGAGCTGCGTCAACATGAATATAATATAAAAGCTAAAAGGCTGCAGTACAACGATTTTCATCCGTCAGCTCTGATGATGTCCATCATATGATGGACGAAAGCTCAGCACGTTTTCACCCGAAACGAGGGAGGAATACTCGTCGACTGCGTCAACATGAATATAATATAAAAGCTAAAAGGCTGCAGTACAACGATTTTCATCCGTGCTCAGCTTTGGTGATGTCCATCATATGATGGACGAAAGCTCAGCACGTTTTTACCCGAAACGAGGGAGGAATACGAGCTCTGATGATGTCCATCATATGATGGACGAAAGCTCAGCACATTTTTATCCGAAACGAGGGAGGAATACTCGTGGACTGCGTCAACATGAATATAATATAAAAGCTAAACGGCTGCAGTACAACGATTTTCATCCGTCCTCATCTATTGAGATCGAAAAACGAATCTCTTCTTCATGTACTTTCATTCGAAATGAATGTCCCCCTAACAATGTTATATCAGGAGACTCATCGAAACCAAGTTTTTCTTCCTATCTACTATGTGATATTGAGCTTGCGGATGTGCGCTTATTCGCTCCGAATATTTAGACGGACTGGAGGAGGAAGTTGTGAGTGCCAATGATTAGATTATGCAGGTTGCCAAATTTTGATAAACTAACCTAAAACATAGTGGATTTTATAATCTGGTATATTATCTACAGCAGATGGGCGGCATTGGTGCTCACAACATCAATTTATCCAATAAAGCGAAACTAGTAATTTCTCTATTTTGAAAATACCTCTTCAATTGAAGCCGTCTCTTAACCTAGACTTAATTAGTTAACGCAATCACCGTAGACACTGAGACAGCAAGTCTTTTACACCAGATTTAATCTTTGCCAGTTCAATCCTCTGACGTGATCAGGAGCAAATCTCCGTGTTCTACAAAGAATTTACTGAGATGAGACTTAGGCTAAAAAGTGATGCCTTTAAGTCAAATATTTGTATCAGATATATTATCTATTTAACTTGGGCCAGAGTTTTGCACCAACATTACATCTTCACACCACCTTAGTAGCATCCTGTCTTAACTTATTAGGTAATATAACATTCCAGGTTCCTGTGTCAACAAACCTTCTCTCACTAGAACTAATTCCATTCAAACTCAGCAACTCTCTTACCCTGTTTTCTTCCTTTGCCATCACCCAAAATAAGGCCTACATCAACTGACCAAATTTACTTATATCCCCAACTAGTCAGACGTTTTCTTACCACCGTTCTTATTAACTATTTGATCCAGTACTGAAACCAAACAGCGGTAATCTTTAGAGTCAGTCAATACTTACATTAATAGTATCCATCGTAGCTCCAGGCGGAGCACAAAGGAGTCAGTTTAGTAATAAATATATAAAAAATAGTGCTATTATTAATATATATATAATTTAATATATATATAATTGTATACCTTTATAGCAGTATGGTATTAATAAACATGCATAATAGTATTTAAATGTGTGAGATAAGGCGTTACCCACCAAAATATAGTTAGAAACCTTTATGGTATCGAGAAATGTATAAACCTGATAAAATTCATGTCTGCTTTTCTGAAGCTGATGGTTCTGAGATGAAATGCTAGCAAGTAAAGTTAAACTTACCATCAGAATCTCTCTGAATCCACGTACTAGCTCGTAGACAACCTGTCGCATGGGCGGCACGAGGCAGAAGATACGGAGCGGCCTAAGACACCGTAACATCATTAATAGTTGGCCGCCAGAACCTGGGCCAATGACGGTGACTCGCATCATATAGCTGACAAATATCAAGCTGATCTTCAGGGATGAGCGCAGTACGATAGCAGAGAAAAAACATTTCATATGAACTTGTTATTTGGCATTTTCTATATTTTTTTACAGTTATATTAAAGTGTCGAAGGTATTTCACACCAAGATATTAGAAAACAGGTTTATTTGGATTTATCCGGCCACATAATTATTATTAGTAGAGCTGGGTTCCAAGTTGATTGTTCCAAGCTCAGTGGCTGCTGAATTTTTAATACTATGCTAGCTTATAAAAAAGAAAAGAAGAAAAGATATGTGCAAATATAGATGCAAAAGGTTCTTTTATTAAAATAAAAAACACCAAGTAAATGAGGTATAATCAATTGAACGCAAAAGCGAAAACTGCATGAAACCGGTTGAGTTATTGCTAAGTAGAAGATGGCAGGAAAAGTGTTTTTGATTTGTATTAAATTAAGATAGTGCAAAAATACAAAAAATAAAGTAGCGTAATATTGCTGTAACTACTGTTATTTAAAGTATATGATTAGCTTAATAAATCAGCGCAAGCACACATGAGTGAGCACGCTGTGTGACTCCCAACCCTTCTCATATTCCGGTGCAAAGTGACAACACAAATAAGGTGAATTAAAGCTTACAAACAAGCTAATGCAACAATTCGACCTGAGTTATATTAAGCTGAAGCTTATTATTGTCCACAGTTCCCGTTTCTCAGACACACTATGAATAAAATAAACAAGGAGAAAGTAGGCATTACTCAGAATCCCAGACTTGCATTTAGAAGAAGACTGAAAACGAGAAAATAACGGGAAAAATTGAATTAAGGTATGCGAGCATTGAATAGGTTAACTGGATTCTACATAAAACATAGAGGAAAGAGAATTAAAGAATGGTCCACAAAACTTACAATATAGATAAAGAGGTCAAGAAATCCACCAAAATCCTTGAGCATGGCTTTGGGTGTGAATATCAATCCATCTGCTAGTATCTTCAAGATGAGTTCTATAGTCATTGCGACGAAAAATACATACTCTGCGATCTGGAAAAAAGTTTAAAAAATCCAATTTTATATATGACGGAAAATTGGGAACTAAGATAGATAGCTAAATGTGAATCCTAACTGATTATTCTATTACAACGCAATTTACTCACAATTTATAAATACAAACTTGCCAAGAAAAGTCGTTTCATTCTGTAATCTGAAAGTGAAAGGCCTCTGTATTTTGTTGTAAGGTAGTCGTGCCAGAAGCCTTGGTCAACGAGGCAATGGTGGTAAAAAAATTTACACTGAATTACGATTTTGCTTCATGTAATTTTAAATAGGATTCTGGCTAACTAACTCCAGCTAAAATAATAATACGCAGACAGACTAATATAGGCATAGTATAGCTTCGTATGTAAGTAGAGTTTCGAGACTACCAGAAAAACAGTAATATGAGATGCATTTACCCTATTGCTTTTAAGGTGATGAAGGAATCATAGTAGAATTTTCCCACAATGATATGAGTAGAGCTAAGGCTTCCGTTGAATTTTACAGAGCCTTGATTACCCAAAACTTGTTCTCATCCAGAGTGGACTGCAGTTTCGACCTTATCAACACCCCCAGCGGGGGTCGAACCGTGACAGAGCAGAATGTAAGCTTGACACGTTAACCACTAGGCCACATTGTCACGAGTGCCCTTGGGTCACAGGGAAGATGTGAATTTTAAGGAAGACCAGGCCTTTTGCCATATCACATTCTTTTGGTGGGATTGTCGATGAAGCAAACGCATGTTTTCTATAACAATTTGACTAGGTTACTTATTTATCGTATGTAAGTAGAGTTTCAAGACATCTTAGATTACTGATTTACTGATAGTATCGAAACTATATATACATACGAAAATAAGTAACGTAGTCGATTGTTATAACAAAAATACGTTTGCTTCATCGACAATCCCACCAAAGAATGTTATATGGCAAAAGGTCTGGTCTTCCTTGAAATTCACATCTGCTCTGTGACCCAAGGGCACTCGTGGCAATGTGGCCGAGTTGTTAACGTGTCAAGCTCCTACTCTGTACTGTCACGATTCGACTCCCCCTGGGGGTGTTGATAGTACCGATACGAGGTCGAAAATGCAGTCCACTTTGGATGAGAACAACTTTTGGGAAAGCAAGGCTATGTAAAATTTAATGGAAACGTCAGCTCTACTCATATCATTGTGGGAAAATTCTACTACCAGCCCTTCATCACCTTAAACTAAATTGAGTGAATACATCTCATATATACTATTGCTTTATTTATTTATTAATTCCGCTTCATAAAATATTCAATGGCTTACCTGATATTCAGGAGTATTCATCAATCGCCTAAATGGTGTTTCCAGCGCCATTGAAGAACACGATAAGAGGGTGACGGTTATCATTATCCAGTCCAAATATGGCACCATACCGAGTAATTTACTGGAAAGCAAGTTGGAGAGTGATGCGGCACTTTTACTAAGAAAGAAAAACTTCAGTATTTCAAACCAGGAGTCTGAACGACTTCATTCGATTCTTTACCAAATGTCATCATATATGAGACCGCTCAACGATTGGTGCAAAGTTTGTCTAAAAGAATGCAATGAGCTGGCCATCACATTGAAGCAGTGCTGGTGATGTAAATGAATATGCTTAGTATGGCTGCCGGGCTCTGAGGCAGGTAGTAGGCAGTTAGTAGTCTAGTAGGTAGGGCGTAAGCAATCTTCTTCATTTTCTGTCTCACACTTAACCCCACTCTGCAACTTACTTAATCCTGCAGGCAAGACTAAAACTTCTATGAATATTTTCTACAAGCTTTAGTATTTCTGAAGAGGGGAATGTGAAGCCTGAATAGTGTGACTGATTAGGAGCATCTCTGCTGTATTGCAGTAAAGGCTTAGAAGATACCTACTAGAGGCCAGATGAACATTTTAATTCTGCAATACCTCATGATAGCCACATATAAAATGCCAGAACTTACTGAATGGTACGCTCATTGTCTGCAGCATCTGAGAGCTCGCTAGTCTTGTGCCTAGCCTCCACAAGAAATCTGCACAGCTGACGGAAACGACTTTCTCGACCCACTGCAAAAAGAGGCTTGTCAAAAAACGGATGATTTTCTCGTAGATCCTCTTCTTGTTGTGTACTGATTGGGAAAAATATTAGAGGTCAAAGGAAATTACACTATTCTTTCCGGCACACACGATAAATATGCTATTCTCCTATTAGTAAAATGTAACGGTCGGTTGAATTTAACAGAAAATGCGTGTTTGCCTCATCAGCTGTCCCAAAAGGAATGTGATTTGGAAGGGTCCTTGTTTTTTTTAAAAATTCGCATCTGCTATTTAACCTACAAGTGCTATTGGCTGTGCCACCATGATATGCACGGCCCGAGCAAGGTGGAAACTGAGGTTCAGCCTAGATGAGAAAAGCTTCTGGGAGGAGGCCTATTCAAATTATTGTGAAAAAAATTCCATAATCATTCCGTAAAAGTCGCAGCAATCGGTGGTGACTTGGCTCCATTTACAGTCATACATTCAGTAAATATGTGTTACACAAAGGTGTTTCCGGCGTTACACTACCGATGGTTGAACATCGTTCATTAAACATTAAAAGCTTATTTTTCGAATTAAGTA